TTTTCTAACAGTTGCTAAGCCTTTGGTCCCGGACCGCGAGATTACCGAATTCGACTAGGATATTCCTGGTCTTTCTCTGCTGCAGGCTGCCTACAGGGTGAATCGAGCGGCCGATCATCTGCACCCTCTCGGTGAGCGCATGTGGGGGTAACCCAGCAAGTCTCACTAGGTTCCGCACTTTCCTTTGTTCTATGTCTGCCCGGGATTTCGTATTCCGTGTAACCGATTCCTCATTGTTATAAATGAGGATTTTACGGTTTAGGTCCATTGCAATGTCGTTCTCCTTCTTGAACAGCGACAGCTACCTCTCTAGAGTGGTAACTTTCACCCCTTGCTCTTTTATGATTTTCATCAGATATAACTGCGAATCCAGTGAATTCCGGATTTTTACTCCAGCAATGGTAAGTATACTTAGCAGAGCCACTGCAAGCCGTCGTTTCCCACGTAAGCTTCGTAGACGCTACGCTATATGCATGCACACCCTGGGTGGCACCAGTATCCGCAGCAGTCACATTGAACCTGCATATGTAGTCAGGGATCTAGGGGTGCAGATACACTCCTCCTTTAAGTCCTCAATGCAATGCGCGGAAGCTGCAGCGAAGGCCAATAGAGCCCTATTTCAACTCTGCCGAACGGTAATATCGAGAGAGGCTTCGGTAATCTTGCCATTGTCTAAGGCGTTTGTGTGGCCACATTTGGAGTATTGTGTTCAGATGTGGGCCCCTCCCCTAGTAACGGATAAACAACTGCTTGAGGCAGTACGAAGAAGGTTCACCCGGATGATCAGTAGACAGCAGAGAAAGTCCTACAAAGAAAGGCTGGCGGTCCTTAGCCTATTCTCATAACACCGCCGTCCCCTGAGGGGGGCTTCATTGAGACGTTTAAACAGCTCAAAGGGCTGTTAGTAGCAGATAGATCCTTGTTTACACGAAGTCTCAGCCCAACCCTCAGAGGGCATGACCTGAAGCTGATGAAACCACAGGCCAACGGAAGTGCCAGGGCACAGTTTTTCTCCCACAGCGTGGTAAATGCATGGAACAAACTTCTACCTACAGTAGTAGCAGCATCTAGCGTTCTGCAATTCAATCGGAAACTAGACAACTGCTGGAACGAGGTGTTTCCAGAGTGTGACTATTACAAGTCTCAATCACTACCCACATCCTCCGTTTGTAGCCGTTGCCTATTTCTACTATCACTACTTTGCATCACGCACCTCATGCACAAATAAAATAAAAATTTATTTTTCTGTCATCGACCCCCGGGAAGCTCCCATGGCAGGAGTATTAGTCCGCCGAGGTACGGTGCCTGTCAAATGATTGAGATTGCTCTCACCCTGAGGGCGATTCTGCTCTTCATCTGTTCTCTTGTAGGTACAACACCCATCACAACTGTGGAACTACCTGGCAGTCACAGCACAGTGGGAATCACCAGCTCACAAGTGCAAGAACCTGGACGTCCACTGGCCGAAGCCTAAAGTCCTGTGATCTGACCTGACCTGAAAATCCCTCGAGACGGGTTTCTGGTATTTTAGAGCTCCCCAGCAACATGGTTTGGCCATTGCGAAAGCTTACAGTGCGTAATTACTTACTCTATGTAATGTGTAATATGTAAATAATATAAACCAAACAATCCTTTATTAGTGAAGCTTCGAAGCCCATTGTTCCGTCTTCGCAGAAGCCATTCCAACTGTATCGTCACTTTAAACCCTTCATTTGGAAGCCACTTGTCGTCTTTTTTTTGGATCACTGTGCCCTTCTTTAGCTCGGTTGTAGCGCTTCCTCCGAAGCTACGAATCTTTCATCTTCACCGTACATCTGCTCTTCAAACTCGTTTCCGCGCATTTTCTTCCGAGCGGATATTCCAACTTCTAGTTTTGTGTCTTGCCAGTTGTTTTTTCATAAGACAAACGCTCACGTTGATGTGCTCTACATAACAGATCATCCCCAGCACTCCATTATATGACCTTGTCCGCTTTGTGTTTTGTTTTTGCCACAATGCACATTTACGATATCTTCTTTACCCGCTTGAAAATTACGTTCCTACACTCTTTGTACCATCACTTTTTGTCTGACCGTCATTCTTACATTGTTGTTCATTTGATCATGCGCACTAGCATGCTTCACGGGCTTCGTGAAATATGCCATTATTATTATTATTATTATCATTAATTGTCGTACGCAATTGAATCACTGATTTCAATAATAGCACTCGAAGAATATCTTCGCTGAGTAGGTTCACCGATATTTACACGATTAGGAGCGGTTTTATTGACTTTAACGAGCAGTACTTCGTAATTTTGAGACCAGATATTTGCCCCATCAAAACTTTGAACCGAGCGCTCAAGGTTGTACATTTTTTTGCACTTTTACATCATTACTGTACTGCTTCTTTTAATAGGCAGATGAACTTTTACACAATGTTAACTTAATTTTAGTGCGTATTCCTATACCAATAAGGTGCATTTTTAGAGATGGAGGACGAGCGATATCAAGATGCGCAGTGACGATTCGATCTCTAAATAGCCCGTCTTTCTCGATCGCCCAGTATGAATCAGGAAGAACCACTGGTTAGTCGAGGGAAAATATATTGTTCCCTGGAAGCGCCGGACTTTAACCTGATTACGCTCGAGAGTATCTGAAAGCGGAAATGCTTAGCAAGCGAAAGGTGTAGCCTGATTATGCTCGAGAGTATCTGAAAGCGGAAATGCTTAGCAAGCGAAAGGTGTAGGCACTCACTCACTGTTTAAAGTGAAAGTTACTTCACCGGAGGTGGTAGAGACTTAAACCAAGATAAAAGACTTAGCTGAAGAAGCGGTCTCAGGATATCAAAGATCCTGGTGGATTCTATGCTACAAAGGAGAAGGATGCACGAGCAAATGCTCCAAGTAACCGATGCCTGCAATAATGTGAGAGCATGTTTAGTCTCTAGGGTTGATGATGTTCGCGAACTCGTACGTCCAACAACGGGCGAGG